GGGGCTTTAAAAAAACCCACACTAAAAATAAGCAGTGAAGCAAGCCCCAAAGGCGCTGGGACTGCCAAAAAAACAATCATCAAAAAACAAAACAACAACATAGCACAGAAACATATCCCCCAGCCCTAAACCACGTTGCAAAACCCACCCAGAACCTTACCAGGCAGCCTCCTCCAATCGCACACTTTCTAACTGCTGGGAAGAAAGAGCTACAAAGAACCAGCCTCTTCACCACCTACAGTTAGCAATTTGAATTTCCCACCTTTTTTCCCTGCCTTTTTCAGTTCGTAAAAGCAAAATTTTGCAGCGGGGACTGGTTGTAACTTGAAATGGTCGTAAGTTGGGATGTTCGTAAGTAGAGACACCACTGTATACCTATATTTGCGATATTGAAGTATATTTGAACAAAGTGAAAGATGTGTTGGCATCCAGTTTTAAATACAAACCTGTAAAAATCGCAAAACCGTGGTCCACCTTAGGTAGGACCCTTTAACATTCAGACTTCCCTTTTGTTTATAAATTTTTGAATGACACTTTAGTGTAAGTAAGGTGCATTTCTTCATGTGTAGTGTCATACAATTACATTTTTATTACAGTAAAATACTAGTTATAGCTATTGTGCCCTGGAAGACATTTCAAAGTCTAGCTATACTATATGTATGACTAAGTTATATGTGTTCTGGTCTTTAATGATATACTTGACATATATACCATAGGGCTTATGTGCCCCATGGTATATATGGCTGAACACTCTTATGGTTTCTTTTATACTAAAACTCTGTAGTGTGCTTGCAGTTGAGGGAAAGTATTTTTGACAAATGGGACAACATAATTATAAGGGAATTGCAATAATAAAGTGGGTAAAAGTAAATCATCATACAATTATTAAGCTTAGGTACTCATATTTTCTAGTGATTACTCAAGTTTTTCTGAATGGAATAATGTATAACAAAGCCCTTTTCAGGCATGATTTTGCATTTAGCATAAACAAGCATAAGAAAGCAGCATCGTATACTGTCAGGACAGATGCATCTGCCCATTAGCTAGTAAACTGCAAAGGCAAGGTTTCCACTTCTCTGGATAGACCCCTTGACATGTACAGGTTGTGGAGCATAGGTGACCTGCTGATGGGATATCATACTTGTCATATGTCTGTTATATTAGTTGCATGCTAATAGTGAGTACTATAAATATTTAGGCTAATTGTATTTGATTCTCTCCTTGCCTGTTCACACAAAAATGTACTGAGTTATTTCTAATGATGTCATTAGGCATGGCTCTTGGAATGTGGTCACCACCCAGGATGTCTTGACATACATTCTAGGATTTGGGTAGTGCAAATTGATGCTTCCAGTCATGTAGGTGACCATTGTTTTGCACTGGTGGAGTAAATTGGGTTGGCCTAAATACCCATGTAGTTTATAGTGGCCTGTCTTGCATTATTTTTATGAGTTTAAATAACATAGCCTTTGAATGTTGCTTGGTTCCTTAGAAGGATGTGGTAATAATATGATGTATGCAACAAATACCTCTCTGCAGGTCACATCAATATAAGTTAGAAAAACCAGGTCAATTCTACTTGTTAAACTAAAGGCTTTGGTTTAAAGAGACTACGTTGTTTAGAATTAAGATTACTTTATTGGGTCTAGAAGGCTATAGCCATCATTTTCTGGACAGGCAAATGTGGATAGGTGCTTGTCACTATTCCATCTAGACATTTTGTTTCTTCTCAAGTTTTTTATGCCTCATCTTCTTCCTCTTTTCTGCTTCAGGTAGCTAAATAGCAGGTTAAAATATTGTAAATACCGTATTAAATAATGTTTCTCATATAAGCTTGTATGATAACCTGTCAGTTTCTCTTGTGAGTTTTCCAAACTGATGCTATTATATTTTCCCTGTGGGAAATCCCAGAGCAGTTTGACTCAAAATTTGCCACACACAAAGGCAGACAGACAGATGTTAAAACTGATGTGTACAAATGAATGAGGGAGTAAAATAATTTCTCTTGCATCACTCTGAGGTTCCTTGGTAGTGTTCTATAGAATATCCATTTCACTTTCCCAGCTGTAGTAGGATGTAATGTTTCATTTTAAAAGCACATGTCCAAATTGCCAAATTAATTACTGCAGTGTCTCCAACTAGATAAATGATTAAAAACTGAGAGGGGCTGACAAATTACATTCTAAAATGAAACAGGGCTTGTTAATGCTTTTTTTGGCACAAAGAAAGGACACATAGGTATCTCATATTAAATGGCGTTTCAAAAGGGCAAGTTAGCACTTTGTTTGCCAAATAGACTTTCAAAAGCTAGCTTGGTTACAAAATCTGACTTTCTTCACATAAATCTAGACTGATGGACAGACGGTAATAAAACTACTTTGTCTAAAAAGATAATCTTTGGCAAGCTATGCAAAAGAGTTTCAACTCTGGAAAAGATGAAAAGAATCCATAACCCATTACACTGATTTGTTGGTCATCATCTCCATGAAATTTGTCTAGAAATTGTGATATTTTGCTGTATTGTGTAGAAGAGTTTTCCCCCACACGCTAAATCAGAAGTTGCTTGTTCTTGTATTTTTAAAGATTTAGCTGCTTTTAAAAATGAATAAAGTGAACACATGACTGGAATGTGACAGGTGGGAGGCAAAAGTGGTTCCATTCACCCGTATTTTATTGCAGCTTGGTATATTGGTTTTTCTAATGTCTAAATTTATGGCTCCATATTTTTATGGCAAAGTCTCATGACATATTCACTGTCGTCCATCCATCATGCCCAACCCCTGCCCCATGCTGTGCTTGATTTAGAACTCTTACAAGTTTGAAGCAGTCTCTTAGACTGTCCTTTAATCCCTTGTTAAACCTAAAGAGTATTTAATGTTTGGCCTGAGCCACCATCTAGTTATGTTTCTACTCAACAGACCTGGTAGTTGGAATACTTCCCTGGAATCTTGGTCAGTCACCGTCTCTGATTTACAGTGCTTTACACTGAAAACACACACGACTGAATGTTTATCCATATTAAAACAAAAGAAGTTGATATACAAACACGAACAATTTTTGAAGAAAGTTAAATTGTTTTAAATATCATTTATTGAATTAATACCCCAGCTTATGTCTTCCACGTCAAGTTGGACCTAGTTGGTCTTCCATCCACAGAGTGATTGGACCTCGCTTATCTTCATTAAATCCCTTAAGATCATACACTAGGGAAGAAGTCTTCTCCTTAACATCTAGTCTTCCTGTTGTTGAAGAAGTTTTTTGTTTGTATGTGAGAACTTTGGGTGAATACCACCAGTAGTACAAAACAGCACAAATTTCACTCAAGGATGGACATTCTGTTTGTTTGTTTATTTAAAATATTTATGGCCATAGGCAAGCTCCACAGTCATAGGCTGCACCTGAAAGGAAGGAATGGTAAATGTAAAAGTATTTATTCATTTATTTGATTTTTATACCGCCCATCTGGCTGCCAGGCCACTCTGGTACCTAAAAAAAACCCATTATTATTATTATTATTATTATTATTATTATTATTATTATTATTATTATTATTATTATTATTATTATTATTATTATTATTATTATTATTATTATTATTATTACAGTGGTGCCTCACACAACGATGTTAATTGGTTCCAAAAAAATCAACGTTGTGTGAAACATCGTTCTGTGAAACACCATTTCCCATAGGAATGCATTGAAAACCGGTTAATCCGTTCCAATTGGAACGGATTGCCATCGCTGAGTGAAAATCCCCATAGGAAACATCGCTGTGTGAAACAATGTTTCCTCCATTGGAATGTATTGAAGCCGACTCAATACAT